TTAGGAATAGTTCTGAGTTGGAGGTGGTGTGATTAGGTGTGTTGGTTCACTCTTGGTATAACTAAACAAAGCATGAGAGTAATGCTCATCTATGTTAGAGTCCACTCTTAAAGCCACTGCTTCACTCCACCTCACTGGGGGGCGGGGTGTCTTTCTTTTTTCAAGGACCCTGTACTTCACCAGGCACAATGCCTTTCCCCAGGGATTGGTCTCACCTGATACCATGTTCAGACTCTGTCTCATGGTTTTCAAGTCTAAGGAGCACTGCATTTCTCCCACAACAGATTTATTTTTTCTTCTGGTATATTCAATATTATTCACCAATGCCATAATTCAAAGGCATCTACATTTCTACTATATTCCTTTCTCCCTGTTCAGCTTTCACGTGCATAGGAGGTGATTGAAACTACCATAGCTTGGGTCAAGCACACCTGACTCCTCAAAGTGATTGGATTACACTGGCCAATACACATTTTGGTATCTCAGATGTTAGACTTGTTTCTTGGTATATTTGACTTGTTGATCCCAAAAGTGGTACAGTCTCCCCCTATCAGCTCTAGCTTTTGAGTTATGGAACATACATCATATCCACACTTCTCTCTGCTTGCCCATAAAACAACAACACCAACAAAACACGATTTTTAATGTAGTATACGCTAGCCTGAAATGAAGAACATACTGGCTTTATTTAAAATAGTTTGTGTTGTATTAAATATTTAGGTCAAGCTATACTTCACATGGTGTCCTTTGATCCAAAGATATATCTGAATAATACAAATTACATGAACTTGGAATTTTCCCAAAGTGTCACTTCACCTTTAGGAACTGGCTAGCAGGTAGTTCCCATTTGCTATCTTAAAAGGGGGGCAGACCATTAGTAGGCCACTGGAGATCCCCTTGCAGAGGGGTCTCAGGGAGGAGATGAGCCAGTCAGGGTGCGATGTAACAACGATGAGAAATACAACTTTCCTCTAGTTCCTAAATGTTTCCTCCCTGCTCCCACTACCATGACTCGAATTTGACCTTGCAAGTCTGGCTAGACCAGAGGATGTACACTGGTACAGATAGGAACTGAAAATCCAGGGAATCCAGGGCAGATGAGCCCTACAGGACCAGTGGTGTGAGTGGCGAAACAGGGAGGGTAAAGGGAGAATGGGTAGGAAAGAGGGAACCGATTACAAGGAACTATATGTGACCTCCTCCCTGGGGGACAGACAACAGAAAAGTGGGTGAAGAGAGACGTCGGACAGGGCAAGATATGACAAAATACCAATTTATAAACTATCAAGGGCTCCTGAGAGAGGGAGGAGCCGGGAGGGAGGGGAAAAATGAGGACCTAATGTCGGGGGTTTAAGTGGAGAGAAAATGTTTTGAGAATGATGTACAAATGCGCTTTACACAATTGATGTGTGTATGGATTGTGATAACAGTTGTATGAGCCCCTAATAAAATGTTTTTTAAAAAGGGGGGGCAGAAATATGAGTTACTGTGTTATAAATAAGGAGCTCTGATGGTGTAGTGGGTTAGGTTTTTGACTGCTAATCACAAGGTCAGCAATTTGAGCCTAAAGAGACCTAAAAACCAAGACACCAAGAAAAATAAATGTGTTGTTGGGCTGTGTTATGTTTGCTTTTTAACACTTGAAAAGGTCTTGTGAAGATTTTTCCAGTGTAAAACATCATTTGATTTCTTGATTCCTACTCCCATGGGCATTGATTATAGATCCCAGTAAAATAAAACCCTTAGAGGTAAAATTCACATTTGGGAAAAGTTTGGGCTTAACACTGATCAGAGGATTCCATGATAGCAAAGAAATTACAGTGCATCATTTTTACTGATAACTTATCACAAATGAGTTCGTGTGTAAAAGCCAGGGTAGATAAGAAAATGGTGAGCCTAGTGAACTGGATTTCTCCTGATACAGTGATGGTGCCTTTTCCATTCATATTTAATGAGGCCAGTATCTATGGGACAGCTCCCCAGGGCTGACGGCTGCTCCCTGAAGATTACAATAGGAGTTGCTTTGTTGACAAGTACTAGTCCGAATCTTCACAGGATAGACAGATTTAGTTTTATGCTCTGTGCCAATACTTATTGTCCGTTTACTATCCAAATACTTTGAGGAGCGAAAGTCTCAATTATTATATGAACAGTATTTAAAGTTACTGAAGACATTGCAGCTAAGTGAAATCATCATAAACTCTAATCATGTAAGTTTTTAAAAATGTATAGGGAATTGCGGTCCATGATCATGTTTTAAGAGACGTTTTTCCTGTGCAAAATCTGATGCTTGGATTGAATTTTTAAGATCAAAATATTACTTTAGATTATGTAAAAGATATTCTACTGATCTCATCCCTCCCCTTGTTCTTAGTGGACATGGTAATATAACTTCTTCTGAAATATCTGTCAGCAAATATTGTTTATATTCAAAGAATGTTAGCCAAAAAAGGGTCATCTAACCATATTTAAAAAGCCAGCTAACATTTATAGACTTACAAAATAATCACAGCTTAACCTGTTAATTCCTTGCTATTATATAATGTTGAAATAGGCATAGTACTATATCTGGACATGCAAAATTACACTTCCATAATAAGAACAATAACCTATCATTAGGTGGAAAGTTCCAATGTGGGGGTCTGTTTATAGAAAGTACAACTCAGCAAATAAATTCGGACAATAGCTCTCAAAAGTAACTTGTGACTACTTTCCACACATTAAAATTATGATTTAGTTAGACACTCCCATGTTCAGTAGTATTTGCACACAGGCTAATTTACAAACATCACTTAAAGGATGGCGTCTACCCAACACAAAATCTTTGGTGCAGTAGGAAGGTGCTTAGTTTTTGTGTTGATTTTAACAGGAGGGTCTCAGCATCTAAAAACACTCTTCTGCTCAGGCCCCGCCCCTTCCTCGTAATAGCTTCCCTACTGACCCCCCCAAGTATGCAACTATGTGTACTTTTTCTGATTAGAGAAAGAGAGATGGGGGAAGGGAGAGAGGAGAGAATGAATTTCTTAATTACAGTTAGATATTTTAAATGAGTCTGCTGTTCATTGGAAAGTAAACGGCTGTCATGCTGCCATCCAGAAAGTACTATGCATGTGTATTGCAGGCATGGCATCAGGAAACATAAATGTACATCCAGCCCCGAGGGGTGGGGGGTGGCAAGGGGGGATACAGTCATTTTTTGTTGGTCTTCTTTGGTTAATTGTAATTTAAGAACTGACCTTTGCAATTTGCAAGTTTTTTCAGTGATGCCTACATAGTCCATTCTTTGTTTCTATAAATTTCATAAAGCGGGTTTTCAATTTTCTTAGCCTATGTATTGATTAAATAATTTTTTAAAAACTTCCAGTGCTTGAAATGCATAATTAAGGCACCCAAAGAATGAAATGGATGGGTTGAACTTGTGCTTTAAACTACTTTTTACTGTAGATATTTTTGGAACATTAAAATCATGTGTTGTTGTTTTTTTTTAACATATTTCAGCAGATCAACACATTTTGCAGCCCGGTCCCACGTTCTCGTTCCATAAGCCATTTAACTGCAACACGGGCCTCGGAAACTTTTCGAAGCAGAGTCCAGTCAGCTTTGTGGGGAAGGGGCGCGGTGTTATTAAATGGGCGCATGATGGGGCACCGTCGGTAGTTCATTAGTGGTGTCCTCTTTGACTCTCTCCCCGTGATTCTTGAAAAACAAGTTTAAAGAAAGTGAATTCTTACGGAACCTGGAGGCGGGGGTGGTGACGGAGATTGTGGGGCTTCATCCTGGAACCTGGATTTTAAGGAAGGCGGGTAGGGGGTTGGCGGGCGGGGTAGAGGCACACACAACAAAACGGAGCTTTAATTTTCATTCTCCTGCTCCGACTGATCTGATTTGCGGCCAGATGGCGGCGAAGCCAGGAGACCCTTTGTGTCCAGGAGGCCCACAGGCGCTCGCACTTCTGTGATGTCCCCGTCGGACCGGAAGGGTTCGTACTGCGCCTGAAAGGGCACAATAGCGGCGGGATAGATCAACATCGCCGAAATCGAGTTCATTTGCGATTCGCCCCCTTTCACTACGGTTGTCATGAAAACTTCCTGCTTTGATCAGCGGAGGGTGGAGAGGAAAGAGACCCTTCTGCGGGCCGCGGGCGGCCGCGCGGTGCACTTGGCCCGGTGCACGCCCCTTCCGGAAGGAGCGCGGGCGCGGCGTCCTGCACCTTGACCTGTCTGTGCTGCGAGGGGGCTTTTTGTCTCGGTTACCAAGGGCGAGGGTGCTCTCTGACCCTCGGCGCTCGGGCGACGGGAGCCTCGCTCTGGCCGGAGGTGGCTCCAAAGGGCCCCGGTGCCTCCGCGCGCTGCTTTCTGCAGGGACAAAGGCGGGGGCCGGCTGGTCCCAAATAAAGCTGGAGCTGGGATGGAGCTGGAGCTGGGATGGAGCTGGGATGGAGTTTTCCTCTCTTCGGAAGCCCCTCGGTCCTCCAGACACCCCCCCCCCCTTCGCGGTCACGGCCCCCTGGCCGCTCAGGGCGCTGCCGCAGCCCAGTGGGCGAACGGCTCCCGGGAGAAGCAGCCGGGAGCAAACTTTCCCTGCTGAAGTTCTCCGCAGCTTCTCTTCCTGAGCTCCGCAGCGGCCGCCTCCCCAGCCGGGCCGCCCGCCCTCCTCGGGGCTGGACGGTTTATTGTGCAGGTTGAACGAGGGGATCGCTTGTGACCCTGTGGATCTGTAGACGCAGAAGCTCGCATTTGAATGTGAAGTTGCTTTTCTTTCAACTTTCTTTTATTATTATTATTTTTTCTTTCAACTTTCAAATGTGCCTTCTCTTACTATCCTGGAAGCCAGTCTTCATGATAGACATATCATGGAATACATAGCTATCTTAGGAAAGGAATGTTTGTGTATTCACCGGGGTGGTTGTATATGGTCCATCTGTGTTCATTTAAATATCTTTAAATAATACTGAAGCACGTTTCCTTCCCCCTCCCTCCCCCCTTTCTTCTTTTTAATAGATTCCCTTAGCTCAGTCCGAGGCATTCCTAACAGACCTTTTGGACAAAGTATGTGAGCGAATGAATGACTACAAACTCGAAGAAGACCCTGTAACGAAGGAGCGAACTTTTAAGAGATTTGCTCCCAGGAAAGGAGACAAAATATATAAGGAATTTAAAAAGTTCTATTTTTATTCTGATGCTTACAGACCTTTGAAGTTTGCGGTAAGCTCTCTTCTTGACAGAGCCATACTATCCTTTTGCTATTTTGCTGTTTGTTGGTTGGTCGGTTGGCTGCTTTGGGAGGTTGTTGGGTTTCCAGAAACTGAACATACAATGTTTATACATTGACCATGTTGTCCTGTTGCTTTTTGATCATGCCTCTAGCAAGTCCCTCCCGGGCTCCCGCATTCGGACAAGGGGATTTTCAGTTGGTAGATTTTAGCTGATAGAATGCACTGCTCACAAATTCCAGGGACTTTAAGACACAGGTTTGGACCTTGCTTTACTCAAACCGTTTTCCTCTGGCTGAAAGTTTCCTGGAAAAGTTTCCGGCAGCTCTGTCGCCAAGGCACGTACTTCACGAGTATTTGCTGCGGTTGGTAGGCTAAACCCCAAAATTACTTATAGCCAAATGTGGAGAGGGTGCCGGGTACATAGACTACCTTTCCTCCAAAGGCTTCTCAAAATAGAAATTAAAATTTCCCTGAGTTAATCCACATCTTCTAGCACGAAGTTAGTTCAACAAAGGCTTAGGAGGTAAGATAGGTGGCTTTAGCGCCAACTTTCTTTCCCTTACAATGTTTGCTTTCCGTGTGTGCTGGTCTCTGTCTTGCTTGAATGTGCCTTTGAGGCAGAACATTTCGCAGCATATTTCACCCTACTTAGCGCCCTGAACTCAAAGAGAGGTGGGAAGACTGTTTAAGAAATGCATTAAGCTCAGGAGTTGGCTCAAATGCCAGGCATGCTGAAACTCTGAAGGCTGACTTGTAAAGATTTTATTTTCATTGAAGAAGCAGAGGTAACAATTCTGAGTGAAAAGCACTGTGGCGTAGGATTGACCATGAGTGTGCACTTGAATTCCATAGGTTTCCACTAAACACGTTAGCGTTGAACTCTGCTTTTTAATGCCGTTTGAACATTTGAGAGTCCTGCTTCATGGACTCAGAAAATGGTCTACAAGTCTCAGCCTGTCACCTTCCTGAAAGGCGGGACTTGTGGGTTCTGTGACATTAGCATTTAAGATTTCCCCAAAGCTGGGGCAGATTCCAGCTCCCTCTGCTCCCAGCCGCCAGCCAGCTGGAAAGTCTGCAAAGATCTTGAACTGATACGAAGAAGAACTGCCCGAAGTCATCACCGAGCCCACTACCCAGAGTGAAATTTAAGTGCACCTGTTTCTATTGCTAAGAGGCTTCATTGCTTTTTCACGTCAGATCCTGTTTTAAAGCCACAAGATGGGTTCTTATGTGAAACCTGAGGGGAAAGGGGGTACTCATCTCATGGACCAGTGTCCGTAAAGATGTGGTGCTTTCTTAAAAAGTAAGACTTTGGTGGCCCATAAGTTATTGATCCATGCCGTCAGCATTCCCATTTAAGGAAGAGACACACCAAGAGGTCTCTTCCTTCCTCATCCTCAGCCCACGGTCTTTCAACATACTGGCTAACCATTTAGCAAAGTTTCTGGGGAAAGGCTGCAATTAACATTCTGGGAAGAGGATTCAGCCCATACAACTGTGGCTTCAACTGAAAGGGCTAAGAAAAAATGGGCGACCTTGATAACAGAATTTTATATTTTTCGCTAATAGATGTTTATATTAAGACCTGCCTAATAAGGCACCCGTTACATGTGTGTATATCCACCTATGTTTTTTATTCTATTTCGACAGTGTGAAACGATCATAGAAGAGTATGAAGATGAAATATTCTCACTTATCGCCCAGGAGGCAGCCGATCTAGCTGACAAGCTGTGTAGTGAAAAATCAGGTACTGTGTCTGATGTAACACGTGCTCCTCCCTCGCCCTCCCCCTCGCGCTCTCACTCAGCAGTTCAGCCTCGTTTTCTTTTCTTTCTTTCTTTTTTTCCCCTTCTCCAAATGGAGGCTCGCTGCCTTGCTGGAACGAACGCCCTGAGGAGGGTTCTCCTCTGAATTAAAAACAACAGCAAGTGAGAGACAAGAAAGAAACCAAACCACAGGGCTGGTGGCTCCTCTGTTTCCCCTTTCTTTCTGCTCCATTCTAAGGAATTCAAACGACTTGAATTCTTAGTGCCCAAGGAGCACCTTTTCTTTCGGACTCAGATGAACACAAAGCACGTTTGTTTGGCTTTGTTTTCCGCTTTTGGAAATCGGAGTTTCCCATCCTTGGCTCCGCTCCGTGGTGACTACTTAATATACCTGCAGAAGGTGGAGCCTTTATTCCATCAGAAATCTCCAGATGTTTTTGTCGGTGGTCGTTGCAGGGTTTGGTTTGGTTTTGCTTTTGAGGAAGGGTTTGAGGTTGAGGGACTTGTTTTTCTTTTTCTGGAAGGAAAATATTTTTTACTCCTACATTTTGACTTCTTAAATTGTTGTTCCTCATTTTGGAGAGGGTAGAAAGTAAGACTTGACTCAGATTTTTAAACACACACTCCCAGAAGCTAGAGGGAAATGACCAAAATGTTACTAACGATAGACAAAGTTGAGAACTTGACTTACTAGAGACAAAGTTACAACACTACCACCCGGGCCCTCCAATCTGGTCGGCTCAACATTGACCTCTAGTCACATATCACTGTGATACATGCTTAATGCGTGGGGTGCTCTTTTCAGAAACCCTCGGGGGTGGGCATGAATCAGCACATAGGAAGACAATGCTGTTGTTTTAAAAGTAAGTTGAGCAATTTTAAGCAAGATGGGGCTTAAAACAAAAACTCCTAGGAGTTGTTTCGAATAAAATACAGTACACCTCAGTACACTACGATATACTTTGTCACTTAAAATTTAGTACCAAGCTTCTTAAAATAATAGTTACTGACCATTCTTAAAGCAAATGCTTAGATTATCAGAAGTTATTCAAAATGGCATTAAAAATATCTACTGATAAGCATTTAAAATCTGACCATGCAAATGGGTTGCTTTCGGTGTAAAATCTAATTTGTAATGAGGGTTTGCAGAAAAGGATTGTTTAGGCATTTGAAGATTCCCCCGCCCCCCCCACCTCTGTTGATTTTGGATATGTAACCTAGTCATTTTTGAAATTCACATAAATAAGTATATAAGTACAACTTCAGAAAGATTTTCAAATAATCCAGAGATAAATGTATACATTAAAATTAAGTTAAAAAGATGAGCAATATTTGGGATATTAATTTTCTTTTTTTCTGATAAAGGATTTGCACTTGTCTTATGGCATCTGTAAATCATTTGCTTTATGAAGATTTATTCAAATGGTGAGTCTTTTCCAAGTCCGTCAACAACAATTCACCATAGCCATTTTAGCAGCTCTGAAGATTCTGGGGAAAGATTCTGCTCCTGAGTTTTATTGATTTCAGTGATACTCACTAACACTTCTTCATTTCCTTCATACAGTTATAATTGGAAATAGCAATTAAGCATTAGCTTTGACAAACTGCAAGCTGAGAGAATAAAGATGTACAATGTGACTAGAATAAAATAAGGCATGATTTGATAGTTATTTGGTAGCATTTGATTTTTAAAACTTATTATTTACCAGTATAAACATAAAGGAGTGTTGAGAGTGAAAAAAAAGTAATCACTCAAAATTGATGCTACACATCAGGAAATTGTGGGATTTTTTTTCAGGATATATTCCTCCCTACATTTTATTATGAATATCTTAAAATACACCAATGAAGAAATAAGAATAACAAACCTAAAAAGAAATTAGACACTCCTCCTTGCCCAAAGCACAAACCTTTCCATTGAAGTAAGTTAGCACCACAGGAACAAGGTAGGGAGGTTTTTCAAACTGAAATATTAATGGCAGAAAAGGCTAAAATAAAGCTTGACTAAGAAAATTTCTAATTAATAACTATAGCAACAAAAAGTAGTATGTTTCAACATATGATATAGTTGCAGGCAACTGAGTAAAACACGGGACTTTCATATTACAGAAAGTCTCAAGGTGCTTTCAGATAGCACGGAAATAATATACTAAAGTATGTTTCCTACAATAGTATGGCGGTGATTCCAATTCTCTACAAGCAATACTTGATCTTGTTTTTTTATATGCAACAGCTTTGCTAAGACATGAACTCCATAATTTAAATGATATTTTAAAGATTTGATGGTGTGTATTGGAGGTTATAAAACTATACATCATCCCCAAAGTATCTACTGAGTGTTTACTGTGTGCATAGCGTTGCTATAGTGACAGTGGGTGCGTCTTTAAGTTACACAGTGTACACGAATCCAAACTGAGAGTTGTTAAAATGTCTATATGTCACATTTAGGAAGATAAAGAATTATTTTAAAAATAGATATTGTTATAGCTAGAGCTTTGATTGCAAAGTTAGGCACTATTTTTCATATATACAAGTTGTGTGTTTATAAAATTTTCATACTCTTTATTTTTAATAATTCCAAGTGAGGCGATGAGGGCCCATTCATTGACTCCTTAAAATATTTAAGGTACTTAAGTTCACCTCCCACAAAAATACATAGAGAATATAAGAGAAAACATGAATGACATCTAAGATGACAATGTTTCGATTAACATCACTGAGAATATGAAAAAAAAATATGTGCCAACTCTTGGATAGGTAGAACATGCTCAAGCAGATGGGTCTGTGGATGCCCTTATCCTTTTATTCAATGGATAGAATAAAAGTTATCAAATAAACCAATTTATTCCTCACACCCTCCTCTCCCCACTCCAAGGGAGAAAAAAAGTCTTACCAGATTTTCCTGGTGAAATATTTTGTGGCAAATAACATAAGCTTCTTCAAATTGCTATTTTGATGCCTGGATTTCACAACAGTCTTTTCAAATCTTAAAAATCTTGGGGAAAAATGAATGAGTGTATATGAAAACAATAATATGGTACAAGTTAAGGCAGGGAACGTATTACTACAGATGATGGAAGAATGGCTACTCTTACATTCCTACCTGGAGGTGTTTGTTACAGAGTATGTGAGGGTGTAAATACAAATATATGAGTATCTTCTGTATATATCACTGAGTTTAAACATAAAGTCTTATTTAAAATTATCATGACTGATGAGATTGCCACAGAGTGATTTTGAATGCAATACATGGAATAAGGCATCACCTACCAAGAAATGCTTAGCCCACATGTAAAGTAAAAGTGTTTTTACCTTTCTGTATAGACTTTCCAATACGATTGGGATGCTGATTTCTGATCCACAAGTCATTACTTTCAAAGGCTAGCATATTTTCTATTTCAAATAAATTATGTAGCTAAAAGTTCATAGCCTTTTTCTCTTTTATCAGTTTCTCCCTCCTTATTTTGAAACAAATCTTTTCCCTAATTCCTGTCCTTCAGATCTTTGTGACACTGCTGTGAGGGTGCTATGGAGTCCCTTACAACTCATGGCAGCCCCCCCATGAGGGGAGTCAAACTGCCCTTTCATGGCTGGCAGTTGGAAAAATACATATATGTAAGGACCTCGTTCCTACCTGCTCCTTAGAGTAAATGCCCAGTGTACCCTTTAGCAAGCTACAAAACAGCTCAGAGTGGATCTATTCCTAATGCGTACGTATCTGTGGGTGACATGCTCCAATGCCTTGGGTTTGTTTCAAAATAGTCCGGCCAAAGAAAAGGAGATGATAAAACAAGAACAGCCCCAGGTTGGTCATTTTTGAAGCGGGATATGAGGTACATCGGCATAAATTCTACCTTTCCTTTTCTTTTCTGTGGATAGTTGACGTTTTCTAATATAAAAAGTTTTTAAAATGCTCTTTCACACGAACACTTTATGGCTATGTGAATGATTTATTGGGCTGGTGTTTAACGTAATCGTGATATCCTCTAACTTTTTTTCTTCCAGGTCTGTGTGAACTTTCTTCCGCTAACCACCCTGAACTATAGGTGTGACTGTGATGCGAGTTACAGAGAGAAGTTAAATCACCTCCCACCAGGTTAATCCCTGTCTGCATGCTGTGTGCTCATGATAAGAAATTATATGTTTCTTGTTTAATTTCATGTTTGTCTAATCTGTGTGTTTTTTTTATTGAAAATTTGTTCTTTGACAAACTCTTGCTCTTTTTGTAGGTCAAGTTAAGGAGCCCATAAAACTTTTAAATTACCTTTGCAGGTTTTGATATAAACAGACTTGGTAATAAAGTATATAATTCCGTAGAAGGAAAGAAAGGCAAAGGCACTGGATAATGAAATAAGGGTTTAATGATACATGCTGAATATTCTATAGCAAATGTATATATACATACACATGTGTAAAGTGGTCTACGTGATAAGAACTTGATTTGATTTTTTAAATACTTGATTGGTCATAGAATTAAGGAAATACATTGCAACAAACCCTGAATTTGGTCTTTTACTTCATATATAATTATGGGTAAAAGAAACCACTTTTTTTTTCAGGATTTAGACTTAAATTCCTAGAAATCATAAATTTAAAAGCTCTGAATCCCTAAGATGAAGGTGAATGTGGGGTAAATAAGGAAAGAAAAGAACAGACACTTTGGATAGTCAACAAGGATTAAATTGGCCTCTATAGAAAATACATTCTGGAGTCCAATAATTGAGAAAGGTGATTTAATTTTTTCTTTGTTTTACACTACATCATGTTTTCTTAGAACATAGCACCAGTGATGATGTTTTGTTTGACTGAAAACTCTTCTGATACGTTTTCTAAAAGATTTTTCAGTGCACGTTTAGTGTGTTGATTTGATTTCCAGCCTCTTCTAGATGAGGGTGCCTTCGAGATGTGGAGCACCCTTTTGGCCACCCTAACGCTGGAGTGTAATGACAATTTCACTCGCAGGTATTTTATTGTTTCGGTTGAGTTGGAGTTGAGCACATTAATTATTTAAAGGGAACAGACTAAACTCATATAAAAAAGAAAACTCACTGTTGTCAGTGAGAATCTGGCTGCAGGATTATGCCCATTTTGCCTCCAATGAGCTAAGAATAAAACTTTTTGCTATATATTAATTACATAATTGCTTAGAAAGCATGTTATTTTAACCATTCTTAAATTTGTACAAATTGGCCAAAATTAAAGGAAAGTGAGTCCTATTTCCTCCCCCTCACTCTTCACTCTGATTAAGAGTCAGATTTGGAAGTTAACGCCACTTAATTATTTGAGCAATGGTCTATGTGCTTTCTTGGGGCTCCCTGCAGCTAGTTAAGTGGTCTGGGCTCTACAGAGTGTGTATGACCCAGTCAGCCAAAAGAAAATGAAAACATAATCGGCACGATTTTCTAGTAGGATAGTAAAATTGTTATTTCCTATATCTTTTTAGAAAATTGTCTAAGATTACAATAGCATTTAAAATAATACGTCCCCAACATCTTGCTAACTTAGCCTTTCTTGGTAAAGACACTCACTACACAGGAGTATTCTTCCTAAACTAGAGTACAAGAAGAAGGGGGAAACCTTGGGGTAAGAAGTAACCTTCTCTTGACAATGAGGATTTGTGGGTGGCTGCAGGCTCACTCTAATGAGGTCATTTTCTCCCTCGAATCGTCACCAAAAAATTTCCAATAAAGACTAATGCTGATCACAGAAACTACGAAAATCTCAACTCATGCAAAAAAATGCCTATGACCTAAAGAACATGGATAATTATGCCTTCTTCCCATGAATGGGTGGGTGTTTTTCTTTGATGGGAAAGATTTTGCTTTGAAAGGAGAGGACCACAGATCAGGATTCTGATAATGATTATGTTAGGTTTTGCCAAGTAGCGTTTTCTGTTTATTCTTGGATGTTCGAGTAAAGATGGTTTTGGATCTCATGACTTGTGTATTTTTTTTCTCTTCAGAAAAAATTTTCCAGGTTAAACTTGCTAGTCATGTAAATATTTATAGCTACTAAAGTACCGATTAAAATTGTTATCAGTTGTAACAATGATGAGAAATACAACTTTCCTCTAGTTCCTAAATGTTTCCTCCCCGCTCCCACTACCATGACTCGAATTCTATCTTGCAAGACTGGCTAGACCAGAGGAGGTACACTGGTACAGATAGGAACTGAAAATACAGGGAATCCAGGATGGATGAGCCCTATAGGACCAGTGGTGTGAGTGGCAAAACAGGGAGGGTAAAGGGAGAATGGGTAGGAAAGAGGGAACTGATTACATGGAACTGTGTGTGACCTCCTCCCTGGGGGACAGACAACCGAAAAGTGGATGAAGGGAGACGTCGGACAGGGCAAGATATGACAAAATACCCATATATAAATTATCAAGGGCTCATGTGGGAGGGGGGAGCGGGGAGGGAGGGGAAAAATGAAGACCTAATGTCGGGGGTTTAAATGGAGAGAAAATGTTTTGAGAAACGATGTACAAATGCGCTTTACACAATTGATGTGTGTATGGATTGGGATAACAGTTGTATGAGCCCCTAATAAAATGTTAAAAAAGAAAAAAAAATTGTTATCAGTGACAATACGGAAAAAGCACTGTGGGTTTTTTTACTACAGTGATTCTTCAGTTTCCTTCTGGGTCTCTCTGGGGCTGCTCTGCTTTTGCACATGAACAATAGTGGGACAAGTGGCCATTCTCAGTAGCCTCCCTCATAACGCTATTTCTGCCTGCTTACTGATATTTATTGGCCAAAAGAAAGAAAGAGAGAGAGGAAGCCCAAAATGGAAATTTACCTTAAAACAAATATAAAAAAACACTTAGTGTGTCAAAGAAAAGTTGAGGAAAGTAAACATGACTTAATTCTATGCCCCCCAAAATTTCCTGGACAAATGTTGGAGAAGTGGTGACCAGAATATAATGCTTATTAAAATAATGCAGAGAAACCAGGTTTGGTGTCGGATGGGTTCAAATTACACTTTTATGAGATGGTTTATTTGGGTCTCCATGGAAGACTGTGTGAACCAGTTCTCATAAAGAAAAGGCCAAATTGACTTAGATGGGCAGTTTATTTGTGTTAGCTGAATTACTATTCGCTAAGAATAAGCCAAGACCAAGGAATCCATTTCACTGAGGAGTGGAGGGTGGAATTGAGTCAAAGTCCCAAACGGGAAAGATCAATACTTTATTTACTAAGACAAGGCCTAACAAGAAAACGTCAATAGCTGGTCATAATTTTTACACCTATTTCTCTGCCTCAGTTGATATTTATCCGGATCGCGTCCTTGAAAGAAGAAGGTTTAAAGCTATGGGTTAATTTACTATTCAGATGATAATAGAGGATGAGAAAAGGGTATTCTTCAATGTGACCCTAAGCTTAATACAAATCCGAGAGCCCATCTTAAAGTGCATTGAGGCCAACGCTGAAGTATATGGTACAGTTTCCTAAGAAAATATAATCACTTCTGTGGTCACAACAAAAACATACCTGTTAGATATGGACGTTTTTACTGAGCTTCCCTTATTATTTAATTACCCTTTAGGTTCCTCAGGTGATTTGCTTTTAGAATGAAAAACAAAATACAGTTGTCTCTTGAACAACACGGGTTAGAACTGCACTGCTCCACTTACATTGCAGATATTTAAAGAAAAAGCAAACAAACAAAACACTCCACTGTGTGCTGCTGATTAACTTCTGTACAAGCATTTCAGCTCTCCAGCATCACAGCCAAAGGTGATCTCCCTGGAGTCGTTTTAACTGTTTAAGGCCATACTGTCGACCTTGACTGACATTCAGGGGCCCAGGCTATTCATGGTGCTGGACGGGCCCCCAGGCAACAGGAGAGTCCCGACAGTACAAGAAAACGATGACTTGCTCAATAGGTACTGTGCATGCGGTCTTGCGGCGACGGTTCCCCCCCACTCCAAGATTAATGAATCCCCTTTAAGGATAACTGTAAAATAAAAGGAAATTTGTGACACCTTCACTGCAGCTACACGAGCAGGTGGGGAAACCTTGCGCTTCTTTGCAAAATACCTCTTTATCTCTGAAAATGTGGGATTTGTGTGGGTGCAATAGGTACTGTGTATAACTTACCAGCTAGGTGTTTACTATTCTTGGTAAGTCTTCCTGTCAATAGGCTGGTGGAGTACTTATGTGTGGGGGCAGTCCAAAGTTACATGGGGCCCCTATACCGTAGGGGTCACAAGGCTTCCTGTCGATAGTACGGTATTACTAGTAGTTATGTTTGGGGTGATAAGCACTCCAAAACCCCAATGTTCAAGGGTCAAAGGTAGATACAAATATGGTTTGTGGTTGTTAGGCGCTGCCGAGTCTGTGCCACCTCCTCGTGGTCCTATGTTACAACAGACGGGAACACTGCCGGTTGAGCAGCCTCCATCCTCACAATCGTTTCTACGTTTGAGCCCATTGTTGCAGCCGCTGCGTGAATCCATCTCACTGAGGGGCTTCCTTTTTCCTCTGATCCTCCACTTAACCAAGCGTGCTGTCCTTCAGCAGGGCCTGGACCCTCCTGAGAACATGGTCCAAGTACGTGAGTGGAGGAACGAAGTCTCGTCACCCTTGTTTTTAGGGAACCTTCTGGCTTTGTTTTCAAATAAAGTATCAGATGCAAAAATAAAAAGGAAATGGAATATACAATGTATAAAATCTCATTGCTTTGAAACCACACAGTGAGTGACATTGCTGTCTTGATATCTGACTTGTGTCTTTCCCCTAAAAGGGCCTTGACCGTGAAGGAAAGGTCCACTCTTGAGAATCAATCCTTCAGGATCTGCCTAGAGAGGAGATGGAGATTCTGCCTCCTGAAGGGGGAGCTCCTTTGCCTGAGGGGCAATGACCAGAAAAGTAAAGCTTTGCTTCAGGAGGACAATTTGGGACGTAAGGTCAGAAAAATCAGATAGTTCTTTCCTTTCTGGATTCTCTGAGACAGCCAAGGAGGGTTGGATGGGTGGACAATGGACAGACAGATAGATGGATGGTGGATGGCTAAGTTGGTAGATCGATGCATATACACACGCAGGCGTATGTACATAGATATAAGTAAAACCAGGACACAGAGAAGTCAGCTACAGCTTTGATTGCTCACAGGTCGAGATTTCCGAAAAGAATGTCTGTCTGGCAGTAAGTTCATTCCTTAAAGAAAAAAAAAATTTTCTTTGTCCCATATCTACAAAACTTCTCTCAAGAGTTTTAAGAAACAAAACAAACAAAACACACCTCTGAATTATGGAGCATTTAGAAAATGTTCTATCCCACACCAGCAAGATATTCCCAAAACATATTTAATCTGTTATAAAGTTACTGGACAGTAAAAATTGTATGTGGTCACATTGGAAATATATTAGAACCTTATTATAAAGTGGCTCAAAAAAAGTGTCTCATTTTTCTTAAACACAGGCTTCCTGAAACCATGGACCAAATTATACCCTGAGAACAAGACTGTACAAAGTAAAAGCCAATAAAGTTCAGTATTAAGTAGATAGAATCTTATCTGCCAAGCCCGCAGGGTAGAGGGAAGTTCCTGAATTGCAAACTTGGTTGACCTATAAGTCTACTTACAGGTATACACAACATTTCCTTGGAGCTGATAAAGATTCAAGTAACTGCCTTCTCCTTTAGGGAATCTTAATAAACCGTTATCTAAGGAATGCAACTTATGTAATGAAATACTGGATGCCCAACGTCAGCTAATTACGTGTAGCTGAGACTTGAAAAGATTCTAAAAGTGATAAGTTAAAATATGAATACCGATTTCCAACTTGATGAATAGCTAGGGTGGCACTGGAAGAGTTGTGTGACGTGTTCCTGACACTTTATAGGAAGGGTTTGCCTCACAGCAGCTTTCTGAACAGCGGGGACTTTTCCTACAGCATATTCTCTGATATCAGCCTGTGCCTGTGAGGGATGGTGATAATCCTTAAGGTGACACCATTGTGAACGGAGAGAAAGAGAAGATTTCAATCAGGTGGTTTTCATTGTCTGGTAGAAATAAATCTTTATGGCTTTGTTGTTCTTCATCAAAGGGCACTGATTAAGCACCTTCATGCTCTGTGATTTGTAGAAGAAAGCAGAGAACCAAAAAATAGACTATTTGGTGCCCATTAAAATGAACCCTATTTAAAGCAACATGGTATTAAAAGAGAGTGAAGTCTAATACAAATGCAGGTTCAATAAATGTTATTAAATTATTAGACCTTTAGGTGAAAAATATACCCTTGAATTGGCTTCATATGCAATCAAATCTGTGATTAAATATTAATGCCCTAAGATTAAAGGGTCACTTGAGTGTGTGTGTACTTAAAAGCAATACCTCCATGAGTTGCTGGTTCTCCATACTTTGTATGCTTTGTGAATGCTAAAATATCAACCTCTTTTCTTCTAGTGATTTGTCCTCCCTCCCCTTCTTACCCTTGGTAACAATTGAGGAATGTTTCTTTTTATGTAAATACCTTTTTGAAAAAAGTTATAATAGTTGTCTCATATCATATCTGTCCCTTTTATGACTGAATTAATGCTCTCAGCATAATGTCCTCCATGTTTCCCCGTGTAATGAGGGGGCTTCGCAGATTCAGGGTTTTGCTCGAGCATCATGTCATGTTCCATTGTGTTACGCACCCTAGCTAGTGCGTTCATTCTTCTGTTGACGGGCATTGAAGTTCGCAGAACATTTTTTGCTATTGAGACTCGTGCTGTGAGGAGCATGAGGGTGCCTATATTTATTCGTGTTGCCATTCTTATTTCTCTAGGATCGATGAGAGGGCTTAAAAAAAAGTTGTGGAAAAATGAATGAAAAGATTATGGAATTTTTCCATGAACTTTTGAAACCCCCTAGAAGGCTTTCTAGGAGTAGGGCTGCTGGATCACACAGCCTTTGCATTTCCAACTTGGTTTTTACAAACACTGTCCTGCT